CCAAGTCAGCAACAGCTGATCTCCCATCAATTCTAATTCTGGCTTCCCAGACTTTGCAAGCTTGGGACCCAATACATTCAAGATCTGATAACTTGGTCACTAGCAAAATGCCCTGAAGAATCGAACTTTGCCTCAGCACTCTCCACCCCCTACTGATATGGAGATGCTTTTCCTCCTACAACTTCCAAATTCCTCCTACGACTTCCCTGAGTGCCTCCCTCAATGTCCTGCCTTAGACAGTAGTGTGCAAAAGACCTTTCCACTCCCTGCATTGCATTAGCCCGCCAGGCAAAGACAGAAGGATATGGTTCCTTGCAAACCCAGGTGACACTGTCCTGTCAGTCAACGGGAGAAGACTAAAAGAGTTTAACAGTCACATCTCTTCTCCTTGCTCTTGCTGAGCCAGTCCCTTCCTCCCTGTGTGCTCACATGGATTATCCAGGGCTTTCCAAAGCGACACACACTCCGTTGCAATAGCCCACCATGAAGGACAGGCTGCTGGGCCTAGAAGCCAAGGCAAAACTTCTCATGCCACATCAAAGCACTGGCTACTACAAAACTTTCCAGGAAAGGAGTAGAGAGATTCAGAATTGAGACACAAAGTTTTCCTTTAGCAACTTCTCCTTTCATTTGGATGAGAATTTCCCTACCAATATGGAGCTGAGACACCAGGGAGATACCTGCAGCCAGAACAGATGACTCGGAAACTTTATGGAGCCACGTGAAAGTAACTGCGGTTTCCAAACACCATCTCCTGCAGGAATAGCAGCCTCTCCCTTGCACCCAATTTACAGTTAGCCTTTTTCAATTAAATGCTGACTCTGACCAAGGCAAGGACAGGGTCAGATTGGTTTCTAAACCACATCCAGGAGCAAAAGAGCAACAGAAGAGCTAAGAACGGTCTGATTTCTAGTGCAACCACAACAATGGACAATCTCTTAGACATTTTTCACTCAAGGTTCATGGTGAAGGGTGAGGGAAGAGAAGTGAGCTGGGGGGAAGGATGTCCAAGCAGGTCCCAATTAAAGCTTTAAATGACAGGGAGGTAAATGAAGTGATTGTCCTTTTGGTCTCTCAGCTGGATGTGAAATGCAGGAATTAGCTGTGACGAAGCAGCACACAGCAGTCCTCAGATCCAGTGTATTTCTCTTAGTAGAGGTAAGTGCTCTCTTAGACCCGTTGAATTTCAAACAGCTTCACATCTGTATCATACCAGATAGGGGGATCCACATTCCTGAGAGAGAAAGACAAGAGCCAATTTACTCTCTGTGGCCAGGTACATGGAATTCAAATGTCACAGTCAAGACTGCAGGAGCTGGCTAAAGAACACCTTCACCTTTGCAAAAAAGGAAATCACTGGTTGTGAGACAATGGGCATTAAAGGGATGACGATATCTACAACATCCCACAAAGCCAGAGCTTTACATGAAATCTCTGCACCATCCCCTCTAAGCAGCAACAGGGAACAGAAAAGCTGTCAGTTCTCAAACAAGCAGTACTCCCAGAACAACTCCTTTCACGTCCCCGCTCAAACAAAGTTTTGGAAAAGCTGATTCACTCTAGTCTCTTCCAAGACAACAAAATCTTTCTATCCTGTAAACATGAGACAATCCAGAGCTGGCCAAATGCGTGCAATTCTCTCTACAGGCACCTCAAAAGTTTGGAAAAGAACAAGTTAGACTGCACCCAGCTTGTTTACCTCAAATAAATAACTCCCCACATGTAGGTGCGGAACCACATGGCAGTGCCCGAGTTAGCTTGGTACTTGCGAATGAGGATGGGGTGAGGGACCGGTAGCAGCCCCACCAGCGTGCCATGCTGCAAGAACTTGAGGATCTCTGACTCATCAGTGAGACCCCTGCAAAAAGACAGATCAGGAACATTCTCAGCATGTCTCACAGACACCCCAGAACTGCCGCAGCATGGAGTACCAGTCTAAACGCACACAGAGCTGGTGACCGTAGCCACCAAGAACACACACTCTCTCCATTGTAAAAAAGAGTTGAGAAGGGACCAGACAAACAAGAAGCTTGGCAAGCAAAATAACATCTCCTCTGCTGAGACTGATGTTTTCAATTATACTTTACAACGTTTCTCCTTGAGGTCCTCCAAATTCATCAAACTCTGCCAACATCACAGAGCTCTTTACACGCCACACAGGCCCTTCTCTCCAAAAATCTACTTACTTGTCAATGCAGATCTTCTCCACCTGAGGGACCAGCACCTGTAAGAGCCGCATGATTGTCTGCAAGGGAAGCTTTGACTTCCAAGACATCACCTGTAAGTAGGAAAGACCGCAGGGAAGTCAGTGTACTGCATTAGCAGTTTTTCTACAGTTACCTCCACCATCTCTACAACAAATTAGTTTTACAAAAATCACGAAAGTGGTGGATGAATTGAGTGCACAACAGCAATACAAGAAATCCTGGAGCACTACAATTATGAGCCACTCAATGAAACTAGTGGAGCATTGCTTTAAAACAGGTAAAACAAAATACTTCGTAGATAGTAGTTAGCTTCTAGAGCTTTGACCACAAGTCAAAGACATTCCCCATGAGGAAATGCTCCTCTGAGGGAGTCTCTGCTGGCCAGGGAATGGTGTATGCGTGGCAGCTCTGTCACAACTCTTTTCCTCATTACTTATTTCCTTACCCAGTCAGGAGTTGGGGTCCACTGTCCACTGGAGGATGCACTAGATAGACGCCTTCGATCCCGTCTGGAATGTGATGCCTCCTACCAATAAATATTATTTAAAACAAAACAAAACAAGCAAACAAAAGCAAATCACACTTAAGATCAAGAAATACAACTCACTTTCTGCTGACTTTCCCCTCAGCTTTTCCAGAGAACTACTGGGAAAGACAGCTCAGCCTGTCCCTAGAGATCTTCATTCACCTAAATCACACGCTTTGGCCCAGTGAGTGGCAATATTTGGTGGCATTAAGTTGTGAGACCCTGTGGCAAGGTCACAACTCCAGTCACCACTGCTGACACTGCTGGAACGATCCACAGTAGGAGAGTTAGAAAGGGACTGACAAAAGCCTGTTCAGGCATGTTTCTTTCTTTTAGCACAGAGATTAAACAGCTAAAAGCCACAGCTTTTCAGACTTCTGTCTACTGAGCATCTTAGGGATTTTTGATGCCCATCCTGGAATATCTTAAAGAGCATTTTCCCAAGGATAGGCTCTCAGCAACATCTACCTAACAAGCCCTGCCCCTTAAGGAATGACACACTCACACCCCCAAACACAAACACCATCACTAGTCACTTTTTGGAATGCTCTGGTCAAAAGTCCAAGACCCAATTCTCTCTTATTTTTCTTCTCACCATCATTCTGTTTTCTTTTATCTTATACAGAAGATGTTACTAACACCCTGGCTTTCCGTATTCATGGTGGGAAGGAAGGAAATAATCCTTTCAAATCACTGTCAATCTCTGCATGAGGTAAAAATGGAGAGGCTCTTCCCTTTTGCAATGCACCCTGACATTCATTACTACAGCCTAGAGCTGACTTTTCTACCAAACAAATGGGAACAGCACTTCCTTCTAACAGCCATCCTGCACCTCCAACACACGAGCTCATTCACACCATTCTTCCCAGCCAGAAACAGCGGGCTTGGGCCAGAGCTGCGCCACACTCCACTGGAAGCTGACAGTGCTGCACCAGTCCTTTTCTGACTGGGGAACAGTTCAAGCTAGCTGCTGGAGACAGAGATGCAATGACCCCTGACTACGTTTCATGGGCTGCCAGAAGAAGAAAACCTTGCTTCTGCAAGTTCTCAGCCAAGACTTCACTTAATGACAACATAATTAATTGTGTGTTTAAGGCATCTGGCTGACCACAGGCCTTCATCTGGTACCAGGAAAGGCCAAAAAGGGTAAGTAAAACTGGTCCTGGGACATTCTAGAATTCTGTTCATTTCAGCTCATTCAAAGCCTAAACAGTAATATTATTTTGCAATGTTTGCAGCTACAACCTTATCGTTCAGCCTGTTCAGCTTCAGTGCCGCGTCCTCATCAAGCTTCTAAAAATAAAATCCATAAAGACATAAAAAGCTCTAATTTCCTTCAGATCATCCCACCCTCTTCCTCTTTCCTCCTCACTCTCCCATAGCCCTTGCCCCCTCACAGCTGCCATCCAAACGCTGGCAGACAGTTGACACTTTTAGGAGAGGTAAGATGGAATTACACTGAAATATGAAGGCTGTTGAACATTTCAAGAGACACTTTTAAAACGGTTATGACTGATAAGGGGAAATTTGTTACAACAGATAAAGGAAGGAAATAAATCAGCCGTAAAGGCGAGTATCCTAAAATTTATCCAGTACCTCTTACTAATTTATCTTAACTCAGTAGGTTGGAACCAGGTTGGAGCACAGAAAGAAGACAATGTTCAAATAGTCTGAAACACCACAATCCCTAGAGGCAGGTGTGCGCTACCTGAAGCACCATGTGATGGCCGTGATGACTCTCCCCACAGCATATCCCACACCCATTGCTTTACTGTCCTTCACCTCCTGTCTGCTTTTTGGCCCCCACCCCACAAACAGTCAGACATGCAAACAGCACTGCTGGAGCCAGGTGGGGCAGCTAATTCGCAACTGTCTGTCTGAGACCGAAGGCCGACATGCTCACACACACAAGCAGAACAAGCAGAGAGGATCAGGATGTAAGGGTAGAATATTGGAGTCTTCAGCCTGCCCCGCTAGATTGCAATGCCTTTGCAAACATCTCTCATTTGGACCCCACATCTGCAGTACTGTCTCAGCCAAAAGCATGTTGAGAGCAAGAGACTGAGAGATTCTTGTAGCACCACCCTAGTAGCCCATGATAAAATGCATCATCCCATACCAATTCATCAAGTCCTGCACAGTTTACTCCACATCTGGTGAGAACTGGTGTGTCAGTTTGGCCATTCCAGAGAAAAGTAAGAGAAGAGAAGAAAAGCTGGGAAAGTTATGGCTTTCACCATGAGGCAGCCATGCCTCCCTGTGCAAATGGATGCAATGAAATGGCTCAGTGGACAGTGAACGCTCAGGCAGAGCGTGAGGCAGTGCTAGATGTATAAACGTGGCCTTGCTGAAAGAGGAGAGGACATGCAGGATAGCCCTAGCAATCCACTTCCTACAAGACAGCAAGAGGTTTTTGATACTGGACAGGAAAGGACACAGACTCAGGAGTTACACCGAGTGATATAAGACTACTGCTCCGCTGAAATTGGAAGATAGCTGGTTTATAGCTCGATGGGGAAAACGAGCAAATGCCAGAAGGCTGACATTGTCACCAGAGCCTACAAGGCCAGTCCAGCCTTGATTCACAGACTGCAAAGCCTCTGTCTCATCTACATGGTCAAGCAGCTGCTGCTCTGAGGGAAGCATCTCAGCCAAGCTCTCATGGGAACACATTGTTCCACACACCAGATAGTCAGAAGATTCTGGTAGAGCTCTCCATCCCAGAAAGAAGGGAGAGGAAAAAGAAGCAGCACTGAGAACCTGAGTCGAAAGCCTCTGGTTCAGGAATATACCCCTTTGCAATTACACACTTGCTGCTCTATCAGCAGCTTTCAAGGTGGAGAAAGCTCACTCCTCTAGTGTCCTAGCCCTTGTGTCACTAGCACAAACATGAAACACCCAAGATGATGCAACAGTACTTCTGATCCACGGTGATTTTTGGCACAGCGAGCATGTGCATATTGCCTCTAATATGATGCCTTTCCTCAGAGGGCCAACCAGACCTCTCTTTCCAAGT